TCTAATTTGTTCTTGGCTACAGGCTTCGATTAATCTCATATTATCTGTATTCTCTTGTAACTGATAGGTTAAATCGATCTTGAATCAATGGTGATTAGCTACTTTTAATTATTTTGCTAACAACCACTATCGATTCCCCTACTTACGTAACAGTTTTCTCATTAACGTTTTGCTCCATAACTTCTGCAGAGGCAATGGATAACGTCTCCACTTCTGATAACGACTGGAACAGATCAATATCTACTTAAACAGACTTTTAAAGTTCTCGGATTATCGGTCTAAATACATTCTTTTAAATCAAGCTTGTATGTACCATTAGCATCATCAAAATATATATTAACAATCGATTAAGCATCATTTACCAATTAGTCCGGTAGCTTAAACTGTATTTACATAAATTCCTTATTTTTCAACTGAGTTTTTGAAAGTGACTGATAAGTACATATTTAGCAAACTAGAATACATTGTGGGTAGAAAAACCATAACAACTGAATTCATAAAAAACTTTCTGCCGGGTAATTCTATGAACGAAATCTGACTTCAAACATTTGTAATGTAGACTAATTTCATGAAATTTTTTTAGCAAATCACGTTGTGGTGAAGGAGAACATAGGTGAGGACAACCGAATTATTTATAGCACATTACAGAATTACTTGATAAAATAGAAAAACCATACTATAATACTTAATTTGCAAAATGTTCAATAATTGTCTCGAACTTCATTGTTCTTGTATTTCCATACTAATTGCTTTCTATTCCCACTCTTCCTTTCTTGATATTCTCAATCATCTTCTGCCAGACATTACATTCCTGACTCACGTCATATACTGCTTATATCAATATAAGTAACAAGCACAACAACGTTGTTAAATCACTGAGTTAATACCAAAAGGTCAAACGTGAAATGTTTACAGGAAGACTATATCTCACGTATAGTGCAACACAAACTAAATTGAAACTATCACGTACGGTACATGATTTGTAAAGAGTGTCTATAAAATTCTCAATCAATTCATTGACAGAAAAATAAAGTCCCAAAATACATAGATGACAAAAACCCAATGAAGTATTCACTGATGTGTGAATCTGGGCTGCTACAAACTGTTATTTAATTCTGATTTTATACAATCGTGCATAGATCATTTTAGTCTAGCTGAGTAAAAGGTAGCATTTTAGATAAATTCTCAATAGGTTGAAACTTCATTCTAAGGAGTTTGATTATTAAACCTATTGTTCACTGAATTACGACAGGACTAATTTTCATATTTTTCCATGAAAGTTTTATTTACTGATATTTCATTTCGGTATAAATGTCAATTTGTTGAAATTTAACTTCGGTTGTACTTATCAATGAACATCGATGATAATAATACGTGTTAAATACATGACTTCTTAATTTATGTTAGTGAACTGCATAGTAAATTTAAATGATTTTAACACGTATATATCCCAGTGCCCAAAATTCTGTGTCTCTTCATTAAGATAATGAAAGAATTCAAGAGTTTACTCATTAATAGGTTGATTAGGATAACTGAGTTCAAATTTACTACCATTCAAAGGCTTGCCTTCCCGTTTACTTAATATCATATCATATGGGTATTTTGTACAGACTCTGTTATTATGCTAAATAGATCCAGAATGTTTTGAGGCATGAGCATTCCTGAATAGTTGACTTATGAACTAGCTTTACAACGTGAAGGAATTAATCGTTATCAAAATTAAAGTGTAAAAACGAACCTGAGAGACTTGAAATGACTATGAGAAGGTATAACCAACTCCTAGCCAACCAGAAAGCAGGTAGTGATAATGATCAGTTTTGAAATAAAAACCAATGGAGAATAAATGAAATTAGGATGGATATTGCATTTATTTACATAACTTTTAACATATTTTTACGAAATCAAATCAGGAAAATACCTGTATAAGTATCAGTACATATGATTAGAAATCACTATTCCAGGGGAGTCTTTGTATCGACTAAAATAAATTTTCAAAGGTTCCCACACTTCTAAGTTGTTACTCTGATCTCTTACGAAGAAATCAACAAAGTATCGTTTGTGAACAACGATATAATAATTGTGCCCAAGCCTTCTAACGCACTTATAAGCCCTCCAATCATATGTGTAAAGTTCTGTCCTATATTCGATATATTTTTTATATTAATAACCAAAGCCGGCATTATTAAATCTGGCACACTTTCAAAGTGTTATTTATTTTGATATGTTTCTCGACTCTTAAAAATCTACTTTAATTCAAAAATAAAAACTACTCACCAAATCTGCTGCCTCTTTTGTAGTTCCTCTTTCGAAAAACCATTTTATTAATCTCAACGAATCTACATTTCTCAGCGTATATCTCTGTAATACTGATAACGTTGCATGGAAATAACGTCACTAACATCAGGCACGACAGATGCAGTTGTTACTGATATTTCTATAATCCTTTATGCTACTAAAACCATTAGTTATTAAAGAGTAACTTTGGGAAATAATTCAGTTCTTATAGAATTCTTACGTTAACATGGTTGTCATTGAACTTTAACGTTGTTATACTTCTCTTGATAAGCAGTTAGCTTCATCTCTGCATCCCAATACCATAAGATGGTCTTCTAATGTAGTATCTTTCCTACTAAGTACTCACTTATAGTATTTTCAGCAAAAATGAGAAGTATACAGTTCTTAGTAAACATGATTACTTGGACTGTTGGGTAACCTAGAAACCTCTTTCTGGAATATAATTGAATTATCACTATACCTCTAGAAGAATAATCATCAAAGTCCAACACATAAGCACTCAAATATACATTCTTATTACGTTGATAGATATTAGAGAGCATATTCTAAGCAGAATAAGCTGGCTATTAATATAAGCATCGTATATAAATAACTCATGCATTAACGAATTTAAACATGAAGTTGGAAAATTCTAATCCAGAGATTTTTTCTTCACATCAGTTTTGATTCCATAAACTTTTCATTATATGGATTTATGATCAGAGTTCCTGTATTTCTAAATTCTTGAGTGAATTTTGCTCTTAAGATCTAATACAAAATAAGTAATCAGTTTTATTATTGCTAAATCTTAACAATCATTTCATACAGTTTAGTTTATTCAGATGACTGTTTTGTTTTGTATTTTCATGATATTTTGGTCAAGATTTAATGTCTAGATTTATAGAAACCTAACTAGTTACTTCAATCAAGTGTTTACCACTTGACCACTTTATTATTTTATCAAAAATACTATCACAGATATGTTATATCTTGTGGCCTTGTGCCCCAATCAATATATGACGTAATTATATTACCAGTTAGAGAATAGTAAATTATCGACCGGACCAATGATAGATAAAACCCGTACGAGCAGTATAAAGTCTTTATCAGTCCTTCTTCCAGCCTATCCCTACCTGTTGAGTCCAAAACATCAATAACAGCCTCTTCGATATAAATCATGTATTTCAAACATAGTGGGTTTATGCACAAACCAAACAGACCACATCGTAACATAAAATAGGAAATAACATTTGTACAAGACCTAGCCAAAAGTGTCTGTGATTGTAGAAGACGGTAATTAATAGAATGGGCATAACTCAAGAACGATAAATCGTGTGATAATAATCTATGGGTCAAAATAAAGCTTATAATAAGTGGATGATGAATATGCATAGTTTAGCTACCGAACAACAGTATAATAAAAATATATGTATCGTATTGATCCATAAATAATTCCTAAAAGGTAACATTCATAATCCTCGTCGGGATACGACAAAATAAGTTTGATAATCGTGTGACTCAAACATAATCTGTGATATAAATCATTTTAAATACCTAATTTATTTCTTCGTTGCCTAGCATTGAAGTTTTGTAACAGAAGAAATAATTCGTCAGATATGTCATGATTTTCAAAAACATTCACTTGCTCCGAAAATTTAATTAATTTTTTTTCAATGGTTAAGATCATGAGTCATTTGAAGCTAGACCACCATGGAAAACCTGGAAGCACTGGACGGCTGTTTCGTCCACTGATGAGGAGTCCCATACCACGACAGACTGGCGGTCCAGTAATTCCAGGTTTTCAATGGTGGGTGTGGCTTTAACTGACTCATGAATTCAACTATTAAATTACTACAGTCTCCACAAAACCCCTTTTATGATAACAGCTAAATTGGTTGATTAAATTCAAAAAGTAATTTTACACTTATTAATTCATACTTCAATAGTTTTAATTTTTACAACAATCATATTTATTAATGATACTTTCTAATACAGAGATTATACTATACTCTAAATAAAATGTATGTAAAATCCTCTTCTTTTTTTTCTTTTTTATAACTCATAATAAAAGTATCAGAAGGGGTTTTGTGGAGATTGTAGTAATTTCAACAGTTGAGATCATGAGTCAATTGAAGCTAGACCACCATGGAAAACCTGGAAGCACTGGACGGCCATTTCGTCCTATTGTGGGACTCCTCAGCAGTGCGCATAATAAAAAGATCCAGATGACTTTAACATTGTTCTGTTAAGTAAAATAATAAATAATTCACTTTGTTATGAATTGACTCATTGAAGTAATTGATCAGTGCAGTGATAATCATTCACATTTATATAACAAAACAAAACGAAACAAAACGAAAATTATCCTTTACATGTATGAAAATTATTTAACATCCCTCCCTCTCAACCCCCCCCCCAAGAAAAACCACATAATTACATAGTATTCTACTTGAAATATTTATTTCAATCAAGATAAACAATTAAACATTTAAATAAACTTAATAATCTTAATGAAATTACAACAATAACAATAATACCAGTCATGACAACGGTCAATTATATATATATATATATATGCTAACTTAGATGGTTGTGATTTCGTTGAAAAGAATCAAAAAACCAAAAAAAACGATGAATAAATATGTATATGGGGGTGTTCAATAAGTAAATATGAATACAATTCAAATGAATAAATCTTTTTTTGTTGTTAGGAAAAAATTTTTAGTTTACATAAGACAACATTTATCAGTTGCCTGATTTGCTAATTGTTGTGGTAATTCAACTACTCTTGATGCAACATCTTGTATTGCAGTTGGAATAAATTCTTGATATATGTAAAGATAATTTATTTTTTGAAAAAAAAGAAAGAAAAAAAGAAAGGAAAATGTATCATCTTAAACAATTATTGATTACAGATTGAAATCATGAGTCAGTTGAAGCTAGACCACCATGGAAAACCTGGAAGCACTGGATGGCCGTTTCGTCCTAGTATGGGACTCCTCAGCACTGCGCATCCACGATCCCGCGCCCCTCGAGATTCGAGCCCAGGACCTACTGGCTTAGCGCGCGAGCACTCAACCATTAGACTACTGAGCCGGCATCCAGCGGTGTTAATGTCTAACTTCAACCAATCCACGAAGTTGCGCCACCATATACCATTGTCTGACGCGAGACTGATAGGTCCTGTGTTTGAATTTCGCGTGGTGCGGGATCGTGGATGCGCATTGCTGAGGAGTCCCATACTAGGATGAAACGGCCGTCCAGTGCTTCCAGGTTTTCAATGATGGTCTAGCTTCAACTGACTCATGATTTCAATCTGTGAAAATTTCTAAAATCTCCACAAACCCCTTCTGATAATTATTGATTATTAAGTAAGAACTTTCGTTTAAATTTGATCGAATAGTTACATAGTATTTGGGGCGCCGAGTTAATGTGAGACATTACTATTATTATTTCCTTGAAAAAGCTTGGATTAGATTGCCAAGCGAAACGTTGGATTTACTTCGATTTCTTACGCTGAGATTTTACAAATACCATTCTTCCCCTTTAATGTCTCAAATTATTGATTATATTTTAAAGCTGGATTAAATATAGTATCCGTTATTTTTAACGATGTAAGATTATTGTCCAAAGGTATACTAGAATAATAAACTATATGTTCTAATAAATTATCTTAATTGTTTAATAAAATATATAAAGTAATATATTTCTTATTATAAAATAAGGGATTGAGAGATTTGTTTCATTTCATCATTTCTTTATTTCGATAAAACAATAAAAAGATGAAGTTTATGAGAATTATGTGATATATTTGTGCAATACACACAATATACTTGTTAAGGCATGTTTATATGCAAAATTAAAAGGTCAACGAGACAGGTTAAAGGTAAGCCATAACAAAGAAAAAAAATAATATTAAAGTACACAAAAACAAATGTGATTACCACTCTGGATAATAAATCAGCATTATCAGGGTAAGGACAAATTGTTTTTGAACACAGAATGTGGGTTTCAGTTTCCGTATAGCCAAGGCTTCAATAAACCGTATTATATATCTTTGAAGGCTTTTGTATAACACTACAAATGCTGATTTGATGTCGACCTTATGACAAGTCTCAAACAAATCTTATTTGACCATTGAAATTCATTTGTTTCTGGAGCCATTTTGGTATGTGTTCATCCACCCTTAATTGTAAATCACAATTGCTCCTCCCTATGTATGTGTTTCCACACATACATGCAAATTGATAGACACAATGGAATGGGACACAATCGCTTTCGTTCTGTTTGGGCTTTTGGTAAAACATAGATCTTGCCTTTTCAATAATGACAAGTTGGTCTGCATAAAATGTCCGGCTGATGGCTAATTTAAGTCTCCGTTTCAAAATGAGACTATTTGAGTCGCCTCTAATGGTAACATAATGTAAAGTTGCTTATTGGGTGCCAGAAGCGTCATAGGTCTAATCGTATTGCTACCCCTCCAGCGGTTTATGAACTTCAATGAATAACCATTATTCATTAACGTATCAGTCAACAGCTTCGTCTCTACTTCAATAGTATAGCTAGTACAAATAAGATTGATTCTATTGAATAAGCCCTTTATTAATCTACGTTTGTAATGAATTCGGCAGTGACTATGGAAGCTAAGATATTACCCTGTCTACGTCTCCTTTCTATATATAGAACGTTGGATGGAACCATCATCTTTCCTGCTAATCAGTATGTCTGGAAAAGGAAGTTGGTTGTTCTTTTCTTCACATGTAAGAGAAATGTGCTTTTGACTACTATTGAATTCTTCTAACAAACGGTTTACATGTCCTTATTTATCCCCTATGATCATTATGTCATCAACGTACCGTCTATACAGACACATCTTTCGAATCGAGTCTTCAGCTACATTTTATTTATTGGATTTCATTGTATTGATTATTTAAAATTATTCAGATAAATTAGAATTAGGATACTTTGTATTGTATTCAATGTATACTTTTCAATAAGCAGTTTCAATGTGAATATTTTTCACCAACATTTACATTAAAATAATGTTTGTTTAGTATCAGTATTTAAAGGTGGGATTACGTAAGTTAAGATAAAGTTACCATGCAATATATTCTTTAGAATAATATAATAGTAAAAAAAGTATATTTTGCAGTTCTATGCTATTCTCTTTTTTATTGTACTGAAAACCTTTCAATACCTCATATAATCTAATCAGAATATGCCTATCGATTTAAATAAACGTTAAATCCTCCGGAGTAAACATCGACTCTCGTTTGCAGGTACATCCAGCTGACAAGTTCCCATATAGAACGAAACGTGCGTTCTGGATTCCACTGCTAGTCACCACGCATCTTTGTTTATAATACTCGAGTCATATGGTTTAAGAATTTTTTTCAGAAAACTTATGAAGTACTCATAAAATATCCTGACTCTATAAATGTGAATTGTTAACTAACCAAGTATATCGCAATGTATTATTTGTCAAGTAGAATCCTTTAACTCATATACTGCGTCAAGAAACAACTGAACCAGAAGTTTATGGCTATCGATATTACCTTTTGTCATCTTTTTTTAAAAACTATGCTTATACATTTCCATCTATATATAAAACAATTATTAGCCACTGTAACATTAAATACTTTCTTAACATCATATTTCGAGTTATAAATCGTACATGATTTTGAAAATATCAAACGATCACAACAAAAACGCTTACTCATAAATGAATCCTCTTGAGCAGATCGACGATGTGTATTTAAATTGACATCAGAGCATCGATGAGTTGATGATCGTCTTGAACCATCTGGTGTTCCTACTTCCAGAAAATCAGATTTCTTTTTTAGTCCATACTGAATATTGAAATACAAATAAAGAATTGCGTTAATATTAATTAGTATGGTCATCGAAAAGTGAAACAAGATAAAAATTACAACATTAATAAGAAAAAAGTACTACTGTGGTGCGTGCTACTTATATTGGTATAAGTAGTATATGACGCGAGTCAGGAATGTAATGTCTGGGAGCAGATGATTGAGAAGATCAAGAAAGGAAGAGTGGGAATAGAAAGCAATTAGTATAGAAATGCAAAACAACGAAGTTCGAGACAATTATTGAACATTTTGCAAATTAAGTATTGTGGTATGGTTTTTCTATTTTACCAAGTAATTCTGTAATGTTGTTTTACTCACCCAACTTCTTTAATAGTTATGAAATAAATAATTCAGTGAAAAACTTCCCTTCAACGAGTTTATTTTTGAAGGTGTAAAAACATAACTATATGCCAGTCAGTATAGCAATATAATGAGTTGTAAGAGGCATAGAATTTACTTATAGACTGAATTCACTTCATACATTTATTGATAGTACAGATTTAAAGTATAAAGATTCATTCCAGGAATTAGTATTCATATAACTCAACGGGAAAATTCAAACTATTTCTATTAATAATATAGCACATACTATTACTCTTGATAAACACAAGAGTCACATAGTTGTATCAACATATCAAATAGGCTTTTAGAGTAAACTCTAACAGAATAAGTAAATAAATGTTTTAACCCCTTTTCTTATTGTTGACAATCGTTCTTTGATACATTCTACTGATAAAAAGATCTTCTTTTTCCATAATGATCCGAAATAAATCGATATCACTTATCATTTTGAATAGTTATGATGACATTTTTCGTTCTTTTTAAAAAAAACCCAGTTAGTTACAAAAATAGAAACGTTTTTTACTTATCTCTATAGAAAAAAGCGTATTTTATAAGAAATATAAATTTCACTTTCATAATGTTGAATATAAATAGGTGTATTGTTCAATATTTCTGAAACCTTGGGGAATAATATCTACTCATTATTATCTTATCTACTTAATAAAGTAGTTTATGTATTTTTCAACAAAAAAATCTGAGAGCTTTAGAATATACAGTTTGTATTTAATCATGTGTTTGAAATTATGTAAATAACTCTAGAAATCATTTTATCCTATATTACTCAAATTCCAATGAAGTCTGAAAGTAATCAAATGATCGAATAGTGAACTTAAAAGTTATGCAAGACTCAAAATTATCAGATTATATTTGCATGATAAATTCCATATCTAACTACCTTTCCTTGCTATATTTACTTATATGAACTACCTAACAAATATATTATTTTAAAAATGAGTTTTGTGGAGATTTTAGTAAATTTCACAGGTTGAAATCATGAGCCAATTGTAGCTAGACCATCATGAAAAACCTGGAAGCACTGGTCGGCCGTTTCGTCCTAGTATGGGACTCCTCAGCACTGCGCATCCACGATCCCGCGCCCCTCGAGATTCGAACCCAGGACCTATCAGTCTCACGCCAGGCACATGACCAACTAGACCAGTGAGCCGGCATCCAATAGTGTTAATGTCTAACCTCAACCAATCCACGAAGTTGCGCCACCATACACCATTGTCTTCAGTGAGCTGATATCTGACAACAGACCTGATTGAACTCCACTGGTGACGGCTTCTCACTAGAACTCCAGGAGGTTCTCCTGAAGTCAGTCAGTAGTGAGCAGATGATTATTATCAGAATGAGTTTTGTGGAGTTTATTATTATTTTTTATACTGGTTAGCTCAATTTTATATAATAAATTTGTAATTAAAAGACTGTAAAATGTTAAGAAGTTATGCATAATTCAGGCCAATTATGTGAATTGATTATCTATTTATATGAAGAAGTCCTTACAACTAAATGTTACAGAATAAGCTAAATGAACTTCATTCTTATCAAACAAAAGTTTATTTGAATAATTAGGTCAACATTTTATAAATGTGTCATTTACAAAAAAAAGCAAAAAAAAGATAAATCAAAGAACAAAAACCCAAGGGACAAATATACAAGAACATACTTGATTTAATGATGCTTATATGGACAGATATTATATAATTCAGATTTGTAACGTAATAAATTTATGATGCAAATTATAAAACAAAAATTAAATTCATTTTTGCTAACTTTGGTTTAGAAGCAACGATGGATATTGGCTAGTAGTAGAATCCAGGACATGCGTCTTGTCCTATTTGGGACTCATCAAATGGATGTATCTGCATACCAGAGTTAATGTTCACTCTGGGACTCGAACACAGTATCGTTCGTTTCAAATACAATCTCTTTATCCATATAGTTACTTAGTCCTGATAGACGCTTGTTTTTGTAATGAGATGAAGTTTAAACTCATTTGGCATTGTTTTACTTGAATCTTTCCGTTGATGTTTAGGACTGCAATTGATCAGTCTCTTATTGGCATATGTGCATCCAGTGCGGATTACCTCGATATTGCCTTCATTCACAAGCATTCTAAGGACGAAACGCGTGTCCTGGATTCCACTACTAGCCACTATCCATATTTGCTTATAATGCTTGTGAATTAAGGCAATATCGAGGCAATACACATATACCAATAAAAAACAGATCAATTGCAGTCCTAATCATTAATGGGAAGATTCAAGTAAACACTACCAAGTGAATCTAAGTTTAGTTTGGTTTGGAAATCAAAACATAGCCATGGTGATTATAGTTTATGAATCGAATGGAAGATTTGTAAAAAAAATAACAAGAAAGCATTAAAGCCTTTTCGAATTCTAGCTGGTCAGTATCAGTAGAACTATATTAGTGTACAATTCTACTACTAACAATTAATCAAATACTTATTATGGAATCATAAACGTAAAGTAAAAAAATTAAGATCTATTACGTGTTAATATCCTTGAGTTATTAGTTTATAGATTAATGTTTAGTATACTGATGCAATAAAATGATAACTTAAAGGCGGCGAAGTATTTATTATAAATTTGTGGAGTATGAGTTTTAATTTTCTGAAGTTATTCTTTATCAAGGTTTGAAGTTAAGCAATCAACTGTCTTATGGTAGTTGGAGAATATTGTTTTGTATACACTAGAACTCATATCAGATCAAGAATAAGATGTCCAGGTCTTGTACTGAATACAGTGATTTTAGAATATTCAGACGGAATCCAGTAATTATTTCATGACGTGTTACGATTACTTACGATCATGGCCCTCCTAACTTAACGTAGATCTGAAAACTATGATCTCTAACAACGATTTTTCTCTGTTTGTCTTCGCATACAATAAGTAAACTTCTATTATCTATAAAGAATGTCTATTTAGAAGGTTTGATAGAGATTTTATCTAATTTTAAGGTAATTTTCATTACTAACTGATGTTGGCTACACTGAGACTTGACAGATTAAAAGTGTAAATCATTACATACTAACCTAGTCACACAATAATAATCGATAATGTGTTAAACATATCCTTAAGTAAAATGCAACATTAGTTAATCATTTTATTTATAATGAAGTATCTCTACAAATTATTTTGGAGTGTTGTTTTAGAAGTTTGATTTTCATTATTCAATATTATTTTCGTTTACAATGTTGAATGCAAAAATTATATGTATTAGAAGGGGTTTTGTGCAGATTGTAGTAATTTCAATAGCTAAAGATCATGGGTCAATTGAAGCTAGACCACCATGGAAAGGCTTCAAGATGTGTATCTTGAAGTTCTAGTGAGAAGCAGTGACCAGGGGAGTTCAACCGGGTCAGTTGTATGATAGTAACTCACTGAAGACAACAGTAGATGTGTCGCTTAATTTTCATTTCTCTGAATAAGTTTTTTCTTAATAAAAAGAATGTTTATATTTTTCAATTATTAAAGATTATTCAACTGAATAAAAAATGACAAAGTTAATCATTTTAACCTTAAGTCAAATTATTATCCTAAAATAAACTGATCCTATATATTGATCATATCTAATAGAGTTACTTAAATGGTATAGAAGATTTGTAGCTCAGGTGGATGATTTTGATGGAACTTGGTTCTCTGAACTGAATGGTAGAAGTCTATCTGAAGTTTGTGCTGATGATGTTGTTCAGAAGAACGATGAGAGCTCCATGACCATACCATCCAGCTCAGAGAACAAAACTTCACCAAAGAGTTACTTCAATTCCCATGATACTTACTTATGTAACCCCTTCACTTCAAATAACATTCTATTTATTTTAGTTACTAAGTAAAACTTGAAAACATTATATTTATTTGTTTTTTTTTTAAAAAAAACCGGGGATTAATGAACTGATAACTACTCGATACAACATAAAATACTCCACATTATTGATTATGTAACTTTACTAAATAAAAGATAAAAATAAATCATAACGATAATAAGCAAATTGAGATGAAAAAAAGAGTAAACAACAACAAAAAGAAAGTAGATTTGATTGGTTCATTTATTTTTCTAATCATTAAATTTAAAATTAGAAAGTAACACCCTAAATGTGTTCTCTCCACTTTTTTTCCCGGAAAATATTTTATCTTCAATAATAAACACTTTAACATTTCATGTTGAATATGTAACAAAAACATTTAAAAGTTGTTTGTAATTAAATAGATTGGGAATAAATTAGTAACACACACAGCGAGAGAGAGAGGGAGGGAGGGAGAAAGAGAAAAGTAATTAAAATAGAACTGTAAAAGCTCATGTAAACAAGTTTTAAAGATTAAAATCTGTAAACATATATGTGGAACAAATTTAATAGATAATTGAATTTTTTTTAAAAATAAAAAAAAACATTTAAAATTCACTCAACCTATTACCATGGAAAATGGTATAGTGATAAAAATCAGTTAGTAACCTTGATATGTTCTTAATAATGTTCCAATATATTTTCATAATCGATTTATTTTATTCTTATAGTTAATCTTAGATATTATGAATTTTTTTGATATAATATTAAAAGTAACATAAGCGTGATATAATATCGACTATACTGGGAAATTGGATTAGAGAAATAC